TGAAATTTTTATAGTAAGTATAATTTATAAAATAATATAATAATTACTTGTAGTAATTTAATTTTTATTAAAATTTATAATTAGTATAAAGTTTTAAAATCTATAATTAACTGGTATTAAAATTTATCAGCTTTAGAATTTTTAAAATTAGAGTTAGAGTATTAAGAATTTTTTTATATAAAATAATATAAAGATAATATAAGGTTCCAATCTTAGTTTTTTATAAGGTTTTTAGGAGTTTAAATATTTTTACTTAGAGTACCTGATTCTATTTACTTAGTATTTTTTTTTTTGAGATACAGTATCCCAGTAAATTTCACCTCTAGTAAATGTTAAAATTATCCAAAAATTATATATAATAATCTAAATTTTAAATTATATATAATTTTAGAGTTTTGAATATTTTTACTTAGAATTATTAACTTTAATTACTTAATATATTTTTAAGATATAGTATTACAAATAATAATTACTTGTAATATATTTTAGAATTTTTTATAATTTATATTTTATTTAAAAATATTATATAATTTTATTTTTTATATTTTAGATATAGGATTTAAAAAATGACAATTTACTCAAATTATTAATATTGTTGGTTCTATTTGGTTAAAATTTGAAAATACTTGTAAAAATAGTAATATTTTAATTGCTCATCTTTGACTTTATAAAGAAAAAAATTCATATGATAAGGCATATATTCAAGGTTATGATATTTCTATAATTTAATTAAATTCAATTAAACCAGAATCTGAATATCTTCAAGATTTAGTACTAAAATTTTAGCAATTGTTTCAAATAGTGATTCCTGTAAACAAAATTTTCTTTACTTACTTAGTTATTTAAAAATAAATAAACACAAATAGATATTCAAAATTTAGAAATAATTGCAAAACTATATATATTATAATTTTAATACTAAAAAAGAACTTTCTTATTTAGCAAATAAAATAATGCCACAGAGGTCTTATTTTGCAAATAAAAATGCCTTAGAGGAATTATAAGCATTAGGGACAAACTCTACTGAAGATGAAATTTTAAAAATATTAAATCAAGCAAATAGTAAAACTTTGAAGAAAGATTAGGAAAAGAAAGATATAATAAAGATTAATTAATAATATAGATGTTAGTAAAACATATACAACAACTAAAGAAAATTTAGTTTTATTTTTAGAAAACAATTTAGATTTAAATAATGAAATTTTTATTGATGATTTAGAAAATTTTCCAGATAAAAAACATAATAAAGAGAATTTATTATTAGAAACTAATAAAATCCTAGAAAATATTAATAAAGAAACTAGTCATATTTTAGAACAAGATAATTATAATGATAATAATTGGGATTCTAATTGAGAATTTATTATTAGAAACTAATAAAATCCTAGAAAATATTAATAAAGAAACTAGTCATATTTTAGAACAAGATAA